CCCTTGCAGTTTGTTCTGCGGGGCTGACCCAGCACACTTTGCTGTCCTTATTGAGCTCAATAAAACTGAATCTGCACAAGACTGTGTCCTGCACCTCTGATGCAGAATTTCCCACAACAGATCCTACTGCTGGGAAAAGAGATACATCATTTTAGCTAGGAATATTGGCATTAAGCACCCTTTAGATGCGTAGTCCTGAAGAGACAAGGGAGACACCTAGGAAGTGAGATAATATATTTTTTTTATTTTTGCAAACTATGCAGTCCAGTGTCTTGAAGTCGGCTTTGCACCCAAATATATAAAGATGCTGCCTGTCCTTGGTCAGTAGGATAAAGGGCATGTATGAGGTAAGCTGGCTGTGTGTCCAGAACATATGAAAGGATCTAGCTTTTGTCTAGTCTGCAACTTAGGTATGATTAAAAACCATATAGGGATGTGTTGTGTCTTTATCATTCGTTCAGAAAATGTCGTAGTAACTTGTTTGTTCCACAGGGAACATTCCAGATGTACACATGTTGTTAGCAGGAAGGTTCATTTGCTTCTTTACTTTAGAACATGATGGGATTAGAAGTGAAGGAATGTCCTCCCTAAGAAGAATTACAAGTAGGAAGGGTAGTCACTAGAGAAAGGTCACTGTTACGGATACCTGGAGCAAGTAAGGACAGAAGACCCTGTGCGGAGTCTTAAATAACTAGGAAGCCGAGAGTACTTATCTGAAGTAAAGATCAAAACTGAGGTGCTATCTGAAAGTTGTAATCAAGAGGTAAACCTTGTCTTGAAACCAGGAACGAAGATATACGAAAACCCAATATTGAGCAGTGAGGGAACTGCGAGCAGTCCTGAAGTCCTGAAGGTTGCTGCTGGAAGAGGTGTTAGTGGGGCCAGCAGAAGGCGCTCACCCTGCGGTCTGTGTGGGTCCTAATGCCCCAGTATAGTGACGGGGACAATATACTGTAAACAGGTGCCATCCTTCAGATGAGACATAAAACCGAGGTCCTGACTCTGTGGTCATTAAAAATCCCAGGGCGTTTCTCGAAAAGAGTGGGGGTGTAACCCTGACATCATGGCCAAATTTCCCATTGGCCCTTACCAATCATGGCCTCCTAATAATCCCCCTCTATGAATTGGCTTCATTACTCTGCTCTCCTC